CAAAGCAACAGTAAGCTTTATTCGGGCAAGCACTGAAGAATACTTTCAGAAGTAGTCTGAATTAATCAGGAAACAGGCACTTAAGAAACAGATAAAGATTACCGAGTTCAACCTGAAAAGACAAGCTTCAGTCAAGCTCAGCAAAATCTCACCCATCTGCTCAGCCCTCAAATATGAAAGCAATCAAAGAGTTCACTGGACAAACATTTATCCATTATGCAAGGTCCCACAGTAAATCTCCAGCTCCCTGGCTGTAAATGCTTCAGGTTCAGGGCTCTGTGGTCCGGCAATTTCTGACACAGCAGTAAGAATGTCGTCTTCAGCACTTATCAGCTGCTCGGCAGGAGGAAGACACACAGCATGCAAGAAAGTACCGGTTGGATCTTTGCATTCGCTTATACCAGCATCTAGACAGCAAAAGGGAGCTCACACTACAGACACAGAGAGGAGATCTCAACATCTCTTCCCGAAACATTTCTACACGGATCCAGGCCCAGCATGCTGCCAGTGGCCATGCAGCTTGCATGGTAATTCTGGCCCCAGATGTGGCGAGAAGCCAAGAATTACTCACATCACAGGAACACCTGCCAGACACGTGAAAGTGCTGAAAGAAACAGGTTCAGAGCCGGCAAGCACAGTGAAGAAGCTCAAGAAAAAAAAAGCTCAAGGGTTAATGCAACATCTAATCTGCAAGTCCTCCAGGGCTCAGGAGCAATTGCCTCCCAGAAATTAGCTATTTGCCACCTACCAGCGGTGAGGACCGAGCTGGAAGGGACCGCAGTGCAGAGGTCTGAGGCCATTGCCCAGCTTGCTGGGAGTCTTTCTGGATCCCAGAACAACATTCCTGGAGAAGACAGCCTTGTGGAAAAGTAAAGGGAGCTGTGATAGGAACGCCTTGCCAGATTTCAGGAAAAGAGCAAGGCTCTCCCCAGTGACAGACGGAGAGGGGAACCCTACTACAGCTTTGCTTTGGCTTGGCTGCTTTGCTCACGCACACGGGGAAGTGGCCAAGGGTCACTGAAGCAGCACAAGCCACGGTTACACCAACACAACATTATCAGTACAGCACAGCAACTCTGCTGTACCAGGAAAGTATTCTCACCAAAAGAATAACCTGAGCATGCAAAGCTTTGGATTTAAACCACACATGTACAGAAATATAAAGCTTCTAGTTTTTTCTACTTGGAATTTGCAACGTATGAACCAAGTAGGGTGTCGAACACAGGTCTCCTATTCCTGAATTAGCACCTAAGCCAGGCACCATTACTCCTCTCAACTTCATTTTGCCTCCCACAAGCCAAATGAAGGTACACAGAAGATGTTTCAAACTAAAACCTACTCCTACCGTTCAATGACCCAACTTTGCTCTTCCCTCACAAGTTGTTACGCTGACCGTGACTGACACCACGGGGCTGGACCAGCTCCATGTACGTGAGCCGCGTTCTGCTGCAGCCCTGGACGGACACAAAGTTGACTTTCATGGAAGGAGGACAGAAGAACCATTTTGATACGCTGAGCACAGTAGTGGTTTAAAGAAAGCCAAGGGCCAAAGTAGTCTGGAGGGCAAAAAAAGAAAACAAGCCTCATCATACAGCAACTACATTTTGCAATAGATAAATCCTGGCACCAGGCATGCGATTCGCTATTAATGCAACCACACATCCTGCATCGTGAGGCAAGTTCATAAACCTGAGGCTTCAAAGGAGCTTCAATCTCCTCTGCCAGAGAAATTACTTGAACGTCCTTTTAGATGCTGAACTGCCTTTGCAAATTGCTCCCACTGCCCACAATTACAGCCATTTGGGTGACAGTCACCTCCTGTTCTTAATCTATTTAACACTAGGAAGGAATGAAAAGCAGACAGAGGAGTCACAACTGGAAAACACAGAAATCAGTTAAAGACTGTTTTCAGTTCCAGGATTCAACTGCTTTGGTTTTACAAGGTATTACTAAATGATGTATTTTGTAAAATTAAAAGCCACTAAATTTAATTCTTTATTTGGTAACTGGTAATTTGTAACACTCTGAATCTAAAGTTCAGCATTAGCAACTGATACAAGCACAGACTGTTCAAAACCTACATTAAGTGCAACAATAACCTACAGGGGAGTTGACAGCTTAAAGAGGAAGGTCTTTCACTATTCTAGTACAGCCCTGTAGCTGGAGATCTCTTTCAAGAGACTTCTGCCACTCCAATCACACAAGAGAGGTTATACCATCTTCTTACAGGAGAGACTAAGTTGTTCTGCAACATGAGATCAGGGCTAAACGATCTTCTGTTAAGAGCTTCAGTGAGCAAACCGTCGAAATTTGTGCCCTGAATCTATCAGTGCCTAAATACTGATCTAAATTCTTCTCAAGCTTTCAAAAGAGCGACACTCAAAAGGACCCTCAAACCATTTAGAAAGGAAAGCAACTGAGACAGCTCCCTCACTTCAGCTCTTCGGTCCAGAAACACACGCACCCACAACTACCATGCGTTCGCCTTTGTAACCAACAATTTGCCAGCTGCTTCCCAGGCAAGGAAGTCAGTATTTGGTATTCAGAGCATTAGGGTGGTGCAAAGAAAACCTCCTGCTATTCTAAAGGAAAAGCAGCTCTCTGGTCCTCACCTACTGCTGGTACAGGGAAATACCAGTAGCTGTAAGCAGTGATAACTCCTTATATCCTACCCACTGCTACCAGTGTAATGCATTTAGAGATACAAGACGTAGCAAACAACGCAAAAGCTTCAGCTTTGAATATCATAAAAATCAAGGGGGCAAAAAACATTGAAGGATTTTTCTGTTATCAAAGAGCTAAAGAAAGTAGCATGTTGTAACTCTTTGCACCAGCAGAAAACAGTCCTCCAGACCTCGCTGCAAACTTTCTGTTGCTGGCTCCGTAACCTGTTGATACAATGGCTGCTGTAAACAAAAACACTACTTTAGCCTTGGTGGTTTGCAGGATTACAGTCTCGTCATTGCCCAGGCTCCAGCTTTTGCCTATTTGATCAAAAATCAGTAGAAACTTGTATCGGTATCTTTGCAGTTCCCCAAGGGACACAGCCAGCACTGCGCAGTACAACGGATACTAGAAAAGCAACTGGTGCAGAAAAATATGCCTTTAATTTAGCTATAGCTATTAAAAAAACTACAGATAAGATACTGACATCAAAAGCACAAACTCAGCATCTTAGCAGCCCTGGACAAGTTCTGCTCACATAAGGCAAGCCACTTTTTGAAGGACAGAGAAATCTTCCCTGACCCTTCCAACTAACACTACCAATAAAAGCAAGAGCAGCACTGGTAAAGCTAATCTGTAACCACCACGCAAAATCTAGAATGCCAGAATCAGACCGACACCGGAGTAATTCTATACTTAAATCATAATTACCTAGGGCTTCTTTTCACAGAGACAGGTAAACAAGAAGCTTCAAGGCAGATGTTTTTACTAGCTCCCTACTTTAGAGAGTCCTATATGTCACAAAAAATTGCACAAAATCGGTTTCTTTCCGCAAGTGGAAACCTCATGTTCTCAAGTAAGCCTACGAGGCAAGTTTCCCCATAAATCAACCCCCTCCTTTAAGTGACACACTTCTATGCTCACGTTGGGACATGATACTCGCCTACAACACACAGATGGACATGCCCAGACTTCAGGTAAGATTGCATGCTGATTTCATGCAACCCTAAAGCACCAGGAATGCAGTTCTGCCGTATGGCATCCGACGATACGTCAGAACCCAACAAGGCTTTTGTATGACAGCCCTGCGATCCTACAGCTTCAGCTATTCTCACCTGGTGGGACATCGCGTTCGAACCAGAAAAAAACATAGGAAAATTGAGGATAAACACGCTGACGGCTCAGGAGGGGACTGTACATCAGAAGATAAAATTTCTGTCTGTAATTCTGCTACAGATTTTTATCTGTCCATGGGAAAGACTTAGCCTTTCCTTTGCAGAAAGGGCATGACGGATACTCTCTCTCAGAAAAGCTGCAGTGGTACAGTTCTTTGTCATTTCATCAGCGAATGAAGGGTATTCCTACAGCCCGGATTGTGCAGGGAAACAGGGAAGCCCCTACTATGACTCATGGCTCTCCTCAGATTTTTCAAACAGCTCAGGCAGCAGTGCTGATAGGAAAAGCCAAGAGCAGCGGAAGCCCCTGCTCTCTGCTTCCTCCTCCAGATTTGGGGAGCGTGGGTGTTATTGCTGGGAACTGCTGCCCTCTGCTGCCACACAAAATCGAGGCAAAATTCTCTTCTAACAAAGCCAGGTTTACAGCTACATATCAAAAAAATACACACCACCGTAATAACTACAAGGTCACAGTGCATTCAGATTTCAAGAGGGTTCACCCAGGCCCCTCAGTTCTGGTTTTAGGCATTTATAAAATGCCTGCCCCTTTTTGCAGCGCATCCCGAGAGGCAACTTGCAAGGCAAACTTGGACTAAGGGATGATTATACCTAGTCCATCACCTCTGTTGCAACTGTTGCAGAGGTAAAAGCACTCAGGTATTAGTCCGTTCAGCAAAACACCGCTTAGTGTCTGCACGTCTTTGTACTGGATTGTGAACACCACCAGGGAAAGTGCTAGCAAATATCCTGCTCCCAGCACAGGACTTGGACTAAACTGAAGGAATAAAATGCATTACCATCATCGCTGTGGGGCCACATGCGGTTCTCTCCTTGTCTCAACCTTCACAGTAGCAGTGCCACCAGGAAGCTTTGCCAACCATTTTAAACACTGTCCAGATGGGGAAGCCTAAGTGAATTTACAGGCATATTTGGAAGTTGAGCAAAGACTGAGGTCTGCATATAAGGATACTCTGCAGCTCTCAGGCAGGAAAATCTTGGCCTCGTTTTCCTTGAGGTCTGTATGTGCTCATGATAAAAAAAAAAGTGTAAGGAAAAAAGGAGATGTGCTGTGCTTCACAGCACATCTCCAGCCTGCCTGCATAAAAGCGGCACCCAGATTGCACCGAGCCCACAGCAGACGCGTCACATCTCCCAACTTACCTGACTTCCTCACCAGCAAAATCAAACACTTTGGTGATTGTCACTTTTCCTGAATCTTTTGGCTTCTCAGACTCTTTTGGTTTCTCCTGAAGCTTGTTCCCACTCTTTTCTTCTTCAGCCTACAAAATACAGGAAGCAGAAAGCAAAACAATGCATTTGCAGAGCCAAGCCAAATTATCACTCCAAGGGGCCAAGGACCCAATGCAGACCGGCAATTAGCACTGCCATTTAGCAAGTCACCCACAGACAAGAAAAAGGAAACAAACACCCCTGCCACCAGAAGGAAATTCCCCACTTTGCTTCCAGGCTCTCACTGGAACTCAAGGATCAAAACAGACCCAAAACGAGAAATGAAATTGTAAGTAAATGTAGGAAGGAGCAAGAACACACTGCTGTGGTTCAGAAAGCAAGCAAAAGCCTGAAGACACAGTTCTCCCAAACTGAGCACCAGCAGGTAGTAAAGCTGCCAGAGTGGATTACACAGAAATATGTTTATTTTTACTCAAGAATACAGAAGAACACAACCCATCAGCAAAAAAAAGTTGATCTTCAGAGAACGCTGAAGATATTAAGCTACTTGTCAATAACGTCTCTTTGAGAGGGAAATATCTTTATTAAGTAATTGTCAACGTCTCTTAATTTACTCAGTCACAACTACAGCTTTTAACAGCACACATAAAAAAACCTCAGACATTATAAATAATCAAAACAAAACCCAAAATTCTTGCTCTAAATCAACCACACACCGCAGAGATCTTCAAGGAGATAACTCAAGTCCAAATTAAGAAGTTCACAAAGAGAACAGAGGAACTGCATCTCTCCATAAATTATTCTAGGCTATGGAGGAACTTTCAAAGACCACTCAAGTCTTAGCAATCTGCCCATAAAAGTAGAATTGCTCAGAAGAGAACTTCTACTCCCTCCTTCTCTCTAATTCCGCCTGTAACCACTTCAGCTGTTCAGCAAGCAACAAGTGAGGTGGAGAGAGGCAGGAGGGTTCAGAGGAAAGGATTCTTCTTCTAAAAGTTGCAAGCAAAGATTACACACCTACACTTGTTTTACAACCTTCCAACAGTTGTAGAAAGAAGCTTCACACAGTGAATAGAACTCTACTCGCCAGGCATCACTGACTTTTGTTATAAAGTACTTTTTTAGCTGCCCACTCCAAAAAAAGACAATTCTAGCAACAGAGGGTCAGTTTTGGTACCTTCTTCCCTTCTACCACCTTCAGCGTGAAAGACTTTGCAAGGCAAATACATGCATGTGGTTTTATTAAGAACCAAATCCTTTTAAATAACTGATCACACATAGAATTCTCTCTACAGAAAACCTCTGCAGACTGAGAGCGAGAGCAGGTTAATGAGGCTTATGAAGGAAACCACAGAAAGCCAGATTCATTTTTCTTACAAACACTCATCCCAACACGTGGCATCTTCCAGACCCCTCGCTGTACCAGGATGAGAGGCAAGGCACAGAGATGTCAGCACAGGTCTCTTCCGTTTCGTCATTCACACACACACACAGTCTCCCTTTTTTTTTTTGAGCATCAGGAAAGGCACAAGCCTTGAGGGAGAGCTGTGCCCACAAGCACAACTCAGACTGAAGCTCACTGAACTGCTCCTACATCACAAGGAGAATCCAGGACCAGGAAGAAAAGCCAACAGAGCTCTGTGGGACATTCCAAAATGCTGACAAGCAGCTCCAAAAGCAGCACCACCAGGTGACAGAGCTCCCCACTTGGAAGGAAACCAGCAGCTTACAGTTTGGCCCATGACAAGGCTCCAGGCTTACAAGGCAGATGGGGCAGGGATTAACACAGCCTCTTCCCAGCTCTGACAGACATCTGGTACCAGCTAGAACCAATGCTGTGTGCTCTAAAGCTTCAGGCCCTTCCCACACTCCCTGGGTGAAGGCCCAGGCCCCCGTTACCTTCTTAGCTTGCGTCAGTTGTGTGGCAGCCGCTGCTTTAGGTTTCTGTCCCACATCACTAAGGAAACTGGCCCAAAGAGCATCCTCTTTCTTTTTTTCTTCTTCTTCTCTGTTTCTTTCCACCTGCTGTACATTATCCACTTCCTCCTCCTCCTCCTCTTCATTCTGCTGAGCTTTTTCTTCCTCTTTCTCATCTGGCTCTAGCAAGAGACCTCCTTTCTTCCTCTTCCTGGAAGCAGATGCCAAAAAAAAGAAAAAAATACTGAGGTGCTGCAACACTACTCCAGAGCTGAACTGCAAGCATAAGTGAAGCAACACAGTACTTCATATTCTCGCCAAAACATTCCACCTGGGAGAATTTCCCCTACTCTTGAGGGTGAAGCTACTGAATTAAAAGATGATGCTGTTCAGAAAACACAGCGAGACTGAGGCGGGCAGTCCCCCTGAAGCGGACTGGCACACGTGTGTATCTGTACGTATAAAACGGACTCGGGGATACCGCAGGAACCACGAGGGGAGGAAAACTTGGGCTGGATGGGAACCAGCCTTAAGTAAACTGTACACACGCG